CCCTCAGCTCTGGAATTTATTCCCCCTATTGCTCGAAAACAGCCTCCAACAATCTTTGACCTTCTGCGTAAGCTGTGAGGCCCAAATCCAAGGATTTGCTCTGGGAGAAGCCTAAGAAAAGTTGGCATTTGTGGATGTGGTAGGAGAACATGTTGTCTATGCCTGATTTAGTCCTGAGTTTGTCATTTTCTCATGTTGTGACAGTTATCCTGCACAGCAGCGTAGCCTGAACCCATGAATTCTAAGGCTTTCCTAAATGGTCATAAATTGGGGAAAAGAAAATAATTTAAATCTAGCAACATATGAATGATTGTGTATTTGTGAACAAAATGACCTGGCAAAGAAGTATATCATAAGTCACTTTTGCGGAAATGATTCTTCCAGCCTTGCAAATCCCACAAGCCCTGCATGTCTCCGGGGCACTAACGGCATACAAGGGAAACTGCAATGTTGGGACTGCTGATAAAGGCACAAATAACATTTCATTAACTGAGAACACTTAATATCTTGCCCTGCCTCTGTTGCAACTGAGAGGCAAGCTGTAAACACCTATTAAAAACATCACTATTATGTCCTACTAGGAAAGTTCTGTCTGTCACCTATTAAATATTTAAATCTCAGATTCTTTAAAAGCTGTTTCCGCTGCTTTTACTCTTTGGATATAAACAGATTTGTTAAATATTTTATTTCTAACCCACCCACGAAGCTACATTCATTTACATAACTTAATGAAGGCTGCATTATTCATTGAACTTCTCATATAACATTTTTTGTAAGACATTATTAAACAAGTGAAGCAAGCCAGTCTAGTAATGAGTCTTCTCTAAACTTGCTGCCAGTTACATTTCCTTTCTCCTAATCTATCACTCTAATGGTTGCAACTAATAAACTTTTTGAATTTTTGCTGCTAATCTGTATATGTTTTGCATTGCATGCTGGATGTATACTTGACAGAGAAATTACAATACAAACCACCTGGCAAACAAAACTATCTCAATTAAATGCTGTCCAAACTCACCCCACTCTTTTTTTGTTATAATAGAGGATAACTACATGTAACATAGTACCTTTAAGCCATAAATAAATTCACTAACTTGGACCTGGAACATACCAGAAGTATATCTCAAACTCAGGATTTGTGTCTGCATTTTAAAATTTCTAAATCTTTGCAAAAGTCAGTAAATTAAAGTTTGGTTTATGCAAATGTCCTGCCTAGCCTTGTAAAAGATCCAGGAGCCTTGCATACAATCCTGTTAGACTCTTCTAGGAAAGATGATATGCACTAATTTTCAGGTAAAAAAATTCAGCAATAGGTTGCTTACACATGGGATATTTAATCTATTTAATTGGTGTTTAAGACTATATCAAAAGTAATATTGGATTTTCAGGCAGTCTAGGCAGTGCAGCTCCCTTTGAGATAGATAGCAAATTTTCAGAATTTATACCTCATGAAATCAATTCCAATCATAAAAAAAATTAGAACAAGGGTTCTAATTTTATGCACATTAATTTCTAAAAGACAGACATATTATTTTATCAGCATCCACCCTGAAAACCTCTGCAGATGCATAGAATTAACAAAAACCAGCAGTGTTCTGTTCTCAAAGATGGCTACATGCAGATTTGTAAAAACATTGTTTAAAACTTCCTATAGCATGTAGGAAAATGCAACTTGAAAGTCAAAGATTAAGTATTTTACATATTATTAAGTATTTTTCTTGGTACCTCTCCAAAGGTTAATTCTAAATCACTGAACAGAATAAAATAAGAAAACAAACAATCGATTGAAATGGGTAGAAAGAAGGAAAACCTTTTTGTCAGCCTCTCATCTTGCAAGGTCCAGGAAAAGACTCCTGTAAGGAAATAAAATAAAATAAAATAAAATGAAATAAAATAAAATGAAATAAAATAAAATTCAAGCTTTAAACATACAAGACTTCAAACTATATTGTCCCTTAAATAGGTGCTTCTATGAACCATAACAAAGGAAAATCTTTCCCAGCTCAACTGCTGAAAGCAACATGCAAGTAACATGTCTTTGTTTCACAAGGACAAAATAAATAAACCTGATCAAGTTATTTTTAATAATTTCCAATAAGTCTTCAGCATTTTTTTCCTTAGTCATATAACCACTAGCAAAATACACTTTTACCTGTTTTGACCTTATCTGGAAATACTCTTACCTTTCAATCAAATATTGATTTATCAAGTAGCATTCCTCAATGCCAATTTCCATCAGTGTAATTCATAAATGTCCTTTTGATTAAAGAGTAGATACAACTGTGTGTTGTTAAGAACAACACATTCAGAACTTAACAGATAGTTTAGAAATTCTAAGCTTTAGAGATGCTGCTGGCTGGCAGGAGCTGTTACTCACATGATTTTGGGAGAAGTGTGGGTTCTATTAACTCACCTTACCCTCGGGGAAGAACCAGCATGCTGCATATAAATCATGGCTTTTTACTCCAGGACCAAAGCACAGCACCTTCTAAATTGTGTGTGATTTTTTGAAGAGAGACCTGGTCAAATATTTTTCTTTTAAATAACAGGCTAACCAAGAGGAGGAATATGAAATACCCTTCCTCCTGTCTGGGTGCAGCTCCCCAGCACAAACTATGCTCATGTGGGGAGCTGGAATGAGGACCTGGTCTGGCCAAAAAGCAATTCGTTTTTTGATAGGTAATTTTTCAACAAAATCAGTTCCTGGACCCGGCATAACAAGAGGGGTGGGGGCTCGGGCTGCAGCACCTAAACAGCAACCACAGGCTCAGCATGTGCCCACCCCAGCCTCTGCTGAGCAGGCAAAGCTGCATCACAGCAGAGCTCACCTGAAACTGGTCTGCAGCCAGCATCCAAGCTGTCAAAATACAGCTGCATACAGGAGATTAGCAGGGGTTGTAAAACCTGCTCAAGAAGTTGGGCAAATATTTCAGCAATTAACCCACACTGAGCTCCATTTTACTGTAGCTGCACTGCTAGCATTTCTCAGGATAGCTGGTTTAAAGCTAGCTCCAGGATGCCTAAATTGCACAGCAGTGACAGACTGCTTAGCTACAGAGATAAATTATTACAGGGGCAGTACCTAACATAGGTTATGTTGTCATGATTTACAGCAGCTGAGGATGTGCCCCCAGATGTCCAGACAAAACCAAATTAAGTATATGATTTTTTTTCTTCTCCAAACATAAAAGCCATGCAAACTTGACTCAAAACCAAAAATTAAAGACTTGCATGTATGACCTTAGACTTACACTGTGCAAGTGTTTGTATTCTCCAGACAGCACTTAGGTCCCTATTCTTTATAAAAATAAAATGTAAACTAAAATAATATGAAGACCATGCAAAAAGTTCCCACGTATAAAAGATTTTAATTAAACCCAAACAAAACATTTAAAGAATATCGACATCTATTTGGATTTGGAGAACATTTTGATGTTACAGAAGAAAATGTCAGTAAAGAATACTAAGACAAGAGTCCTGCTGTTCTCCAGACTCCAGATCACCTCCAAATCAGGATCAAGGTTTGCAATTTTCCATTACTATATTGGCAATAAAGGGGTTTAAACTAAGGTTATTCATCAAGTCCCTGAGAAACATAACGGTACAAGAAATTTGCACAGGAGAAAATATTTAAGATTTTAAACACTGTCAAGATGACTCAGGTGCAATTTAAAAAGAATGCTTTTTGGGGCCACAAAAAATTGAGTACAAAAAATTATTGATAGTTATACTCGTACGTAGGCTGTATCTAAAGCCATGTGTTAGACGCCCCCGTGTTTAAAATGCTAGCTGGAAACATATCAAATGCATTATAGAAACACCCCTTTAAAAATTCCAAACCTCATAGATGCTATTTTGGGCAACTTAGCTTTGTCCTTAATTTTGATCTTGGGAGAACATAATAAAAAAGTGACTGTTTTCCAGAAGTAAACAAAAAATGTAACGATTCTATGTGGTGCTACAAGTGCTCATGACACTGAATTGCATTGCTTTACTTTGTAGATGTTTATAGAGCCACCCTATGTTGTTTGACTTTTGAGGGAAGACTAATAGGTGTAGTAAGCTGGGGTGGCCACAAAACCCCTTATGGTTAAGCCAAAATAGGGGTCATGCCTAGGGCATTTTATCTGCCCTGCTTACACACCCCTGGGGAATTGCATCTCAACAGTTGATTCTCTGTTAATCAATTCACATTAGTGCCTGCCTTTTAGTTTTCACTTTGCTGAATTCCAGGAAAGAAGTTCTTAAACCAAATGCATGCTCTCTCTCACCTAGTCAGAGCTGTTGCATTTCAAGGAGAAATAAGCAGATTTTATTTGCTCTACCAGCTGATAAGAGAACCTTCGTAAGTAAAGATTCATAGCTAGCAAGCTCAACACAGAACAAGATTCAGTGGTGTGTTTACACAGCTCAGCACTAATATGGGAGGAGAGGACATTTGTGGATTTTTTTCCTCAACTAGCTCCAGAGAAAAACTTATGTGACATTATTCTGCTTTCCTTTTCTTTCTGATTTACTGGGGCTCAACATGATGTGCTTGATAAGGAGACCTGTAGCACTTGCCATCACTCCATGCAGTTTTCAGTGAGCATGTGGTTTTGTACTGTTCTTGCATTTACAGCTAAAATTTATAACAATTAGCTACTCACAATAAGCAACTACATGTGAAGGAGGGAAGAGTTATGAACACAAAAATAGCAAATACCTCATTCACAGAAGCAGATCTGGCTTTACATCCAAACCCTAGAGCCACGTCCATTAAGTTACTCTCTAGCATACACACAGATCTTCATACAGAGGATCATCAAAAATAAACTTTATTATCAAACTTAAAATTCACACATTAAACATACAATCTAGACACAAATAATACTGAAAACATTCTCAAACAATAACCATTTCAGGTAATTTGGATGAGTAGCTGGTTGCCATTGTTTTGAATGCTTTTCGGATATTTCTTATACATACACCATCCTGAAATGTCTTTGAATGCTTAGCTGGCCAGTTTTCAATGATATTTTTAAATAGGGGAAAATTTATTTCTATAGAAATAACATTATCTAATTATGAATCAGAGACCCATAATTGTAGTGCTGGGGGAAAAAATATCATAGCCTCTTGAAATACTTAGAAGACATAAATAACTATTGTACATTTACAAGTTTTAAATATTTAAAGGCCTTTGTTACTATAAAAAGTTACTATGTACATATTAAATGCTATATAGGAATCCATTTGGAGGGTTGAGCTCTCAGATTTGGCCACTGAAACCGATGAATTTGGTAGGCAGATTGTCCACAGGATACACTATGGGGCCCGTTTTCATTGTAGGAGGTCCATTCAGCAGCTGCCAGTCACAGCTCCGAGCCAACTCCACTGTAAATATTTTTAGAAGGACTTTTGCAAACTCTTTGCCCACGCAGCTCCTCAAGCCCCCACCGAAAGGAATGAAACTGAACCTAGAGGAATCCTCTGGAGATGGAGACATGAAGCGATCTGGGTTAAATTCTTCCTTGTTGGTAAAGAGGTCTGCCACATCATGTGTATCACAGATACTGTAAATAACATTCCAACCTTTAGGGATTTGGTAACCCTATAAAAAAGAACAGAAAGGAGATGTGGAGCACCTTGCTGTGTTAAATAATGTGAAGTGACAGAGCAGGACACATCAGTGAACCCCACCTCCCCTCCTGGCTTCCTGCAGGTCACTCTAAGGCAGACAGGCTACATGAACACAAAATACTTTGCAGCTGCTCTGAGGAGTTGTGCCCAAACCTTGCTTACATTTAGCTCAAGGGTCTTGAGTGCAATCCGAAATCCTCCAGGAACAGGCGGGCTCAGCCTGAGGGTCTCTTTGATGACACAGCCTGTGTACTTCAGCTGCTCCAAGACCTCCATGTCCAGCTGCTTCTCTTGGTTGGAATTGCACAGTAACCCCTAGAAAGGAAAATGCTGCCATGACACCCATGAACCATGCAGCCAGGGCTCCTGGCACTGCAAAGCAGCTGCCCCTCAGCTACAAGCAGTATTTTCCTGCCACCCCTAAAAGCTGGGCACCACCTGGGTCAAAGGGAGCCCTATCTGGGATACCTGTCCTGGAGGTACCTTCCTCCCACTGCCCCCTCCTATCAAATGCCTCTGGGGAAGACACAAACCTTGACCTGCAGCTCTTTCCTCACTTTCTGCAGGACTTCATGGTGGAGCCCTAGGAAGGCAATCAGTGACGTGGCAGCACTAGCAGTGGTTTCATGGCCCCCGAACAGCAGCTCTGTGGCAGACTCCTTCAGCTCCTTACGCAAAGGACAGAAGAGGCATAAACCAGACCTTGAACACTGTACCAGGCCCACTCATCCACTGCAATGCTGTACATCATTCCCAAACTGGAACAGACACCCAGGGGTCTGGACAGAGGTGGTTGGTGGTGCTTATACTCCCTGGGAACCTGTCTTCCCATCCAACAGCCTGACTGCAGCCTCTGCATCCTAGTGCTCAACACTAGCAGATTTATTTCATGGAGAAAGAGAGCATCTCCTGCTCTCCCTTTTGTCCCCACAAGGTAAGTGTGACATTCTTAGGGGGCATGAGGGAAAGAGATAAATCCGGGGGAACCTTACCTGCATGTTGAGCTGCTCGCCGTTACCCTGTGTGTGTTCCATCAGCAGCTGCAGGGCATCCTTGTAGCCCCCCTCAGGCTCCTTGCGGGCCATCTTGGCACGGATGTTCTCCTCGATCTTGGCATGGATGATGTTGCGTGCCCGCAAGCCCTGACCAAGCAGGAGGGAGAGCAGTTTGGGTCTCAGACTGTACTGCCATCCCTGCCCCCCGATTCCCGTGCCCTGGCCGCAGGGGCACCTCTTCCCTGCTGGCCCGCCGTGAGCCTTACCCGGTAGAGCCCACTGAAGGGCACATCGATGGGCAGGGAGAAGAGGTTGCGGATCATCTCCTCGAAGGCCTCGACCAGCTGCTGCTCGCCGTCGGGGCTGGCCTGGCGGGGCTGGAAGCCCAGCAGGATTCTCATGGCAATGCGAAACATGAGGCGCTTCACCTCGGGGTACACGAGCAGGCAGGGCCCGGCGGCGCCCAGCCACCGCGCCAGGCAGGCGCTCACCTCCTCCTGGATGACGGGCACGTAGTGCTGCAGGGCGTCCCGGGAGAAGGCCCGCATGATCACCTGCCCGGGGGGACGAGGAGGAACGGGACAGAGGCTCAGCCGCCGCGCCCCAGGCGACCGCGCCCGCTCCCCGCCCGCCGTCGGCCCGTACCTTTTTGCGGTGCTTGTGCTGCCCGTTGTGGAGGTTGGAGAGGCAGCCCGAGCCTAGGATGGTCCGCACCGAGGCGGGCCACTGCACGGAGACGAGCCGGTGCTCGCCCAGCAGAATGTGCCGCACGTTCTCGGCGCCCATCACCCGTACCGTGGGCCGCCCAAAGAGGTGAGTCTTGTAGATGAAGCCGTATTTCCTGCGTTTCATCTGCAGGAATTTCCGCCTCTAGACAGGAGATGAGAGGGGGGAAACGATAAATAAATTTTAGACAGCATAAGAGGAAGAGGCAGGGAGAGCAGCTCTTTCCCACCTGGGCACGGGAGCCTGTCAAAGTTGCCGCTCATCTCCCTCCCCTGCAGCCCGAGGAGCTCTGGCTCCAGAGAGGCGCCTCTCCGTTCCCCGCGCCATCGCCTGGCCTTACCTGCAGCACCAGCTGCAGCGTCTCCCCGAAGAAGGGGAGCCCCATGGTGCCCGGGGGCAGCGGGAGCGGGCAGCTGGGGTCGCGGCTGCTCACGCAGTACAGGTCCCAGAGCTTGACGGCAGCCAGAAAGAGTAGCAGGGGCAGCAGAAAGGTGCACAGGGCGCTGGCGACTAGGGCGGAGAAGCCCATGACTGGGGAGCGACTCCCACCCAGCCCCCCGGGAGCTCTGAGTGCGCGGGCTGGGCTCGCCGCGGGCCGCCTTTTATACCCTTCCCAGGTTGCTGCCCACCCCTACCTTGGTCCGATAAATTAGTTCACCCAAAGTTCATCTTTAATTGCGGATTGCGGCCTGGCTCCTCCCCTCGAAATCTTTAACTATTTGCTTTGCGTAGTGCATCCTACCCGCCGCAGACGGCTGCCGGGGAAGGAAAGGTGCTGTCGGGGGCGGCGGCAGCGGCTCCGGGCTCGCTGACCCTGCACCGCGCTCGGTGAGTGGGCTGCGGAACGCCGCCGACAGCTGACAGCCGGTGGTCGGCCACCACCTCCTCCTCGTCTCGGATTTATTGCCGATGCTCGTTCGAGACCAGCGGCTGCACCCAGAAATTCCCGCGCCGGCACCCGGCGGCCCGGCTGTCCGGTCACCTACCCCGCGGCGCTGCCGCCCGGCTCCGATGCGCTCTGCGGAGCTCCTTCGTCCGCCCGCCACCGTTGTCGGCTGGGAACGGCGATGTAGCGGCCGGACCCGGGAGACACCGGGCCGGGACCGTGGGGCGGCCGGAGCGGACGGTCCCCCGCGCTGGGGCAGCCCGGAGACCCTCTGAGCAGAGCCGCCGGGGCATCGGCGGAGGAGCCTCCGCTGTCCCCTGGTTCACCTCGAAAGACATGGCTTGTATTTCTGCCGGCCGTGGAGCAAGGAGCCGCCGGCAGCAATCCGTCTCAGCCTCCCGATGCAGGTTCAAGCGCGGGTCACCGAGGGAAAAGAAGGTGAGCGCGGAAAGGAAACACCAAACTCGCCGTTCCCAGCTCCTCTCCCCGGGATCCATTGCCCACCCTCGCCTGAGGCTCTCCAGCATCCCGTCGGGGCTGCCGCGGCCGGGAAGAGGCGGTCGGCACGGCCGGGCACCCCGCCTGCAGCCGCGGCGCGGAGGGGCGGGCGGGCACCGGCGCTGCTCTCCGGACGGGAGCGGCGGCTCCGGGCAGCGGGAGCGGGGCGGCGGGAGGGCGGCGCTGGCTGGGGCGGCTGCTGCTGCCGGCGCAGGAGCCGCTGGGGAAGGGGCGCCCGGCGCGGACCGCGGCTGCGGGGCGCGGAGCTCTCCGCCGACCACGGCTGCGGCCAATACACTTTTTTTTTTCTTTACTGTTTTTATCTTTTCCCTCCCTGTTACTTTGGCATTCTTGTTCCCTCAATAACCTCAATAAACCTCAGCTCAATAAACGCTGGAAGTTTTGTGTGTGCGTCTGTGTAGGGGAGAGGGAGATGTCGCTTTTAATTATTATTTTTCTAACAATCAACGCATCACACGAGACCCGCCCTCCTCTTACGATGCCTTGTTGGAGCGGGGCTCCCGCCTCCGCAGCCCCTTGCCCAGGAGGGAGCCCCCCGGACGGTACTGCCCCGGTAGCCCCTCGGGGTTCGCTGCGGGCCCGGCCGGCGCTGGCCGGGAGCGGCGGCCGCGCCCTGACCCGGCGCTCTCCCCTTGCCGGGCGCTGACCTGCTTGTGACCTACAACACGGACCGTGACATCTGCGTGAACCCGGCCGGCAACCGCGCCAAGTTCACTGTCTATCAAAATAACGAGATACGGTGGCCTGAGCAGCGATAATTGCCACAGGAAGGCTTTATTATCTTCCCAGCTGTGTATTCCCCAGCCATCGGCTTGAAAAGAATCAAATGGTAAAGAGTGAAAGGGATAATTAAAAACATCTTGGAAGGAGGTCAAGAAATTAACAGCCTAATATGAACAAACTTTGATTACAAGTAACAATTATTACACTTCATTTGTAAATGGTCGTGTTTATCTGCAAACAAAATCAGTTTATCGGTTTCTTTTTGCTTCTTTTTTTTTTTTTTAACTAGATTCATGTTACATTTTTCAGCGGGCTTGCTGGCGCTCAGGGTAATTTTTAAGTGCCCTGCTGGAGGAGCCCTGACCTTCCTGCCCAGGGTGCCGGACGCTGCAGGCCCAGCCCTGCCCAAGTCCTGCCCGCGGTGAGACCCTGAATCGCCTGCGGTCTCAGCCAGCCAGTAGCTCCTGCTAATTAAAGTTAGTCATTGCCACTTGCAGCCACCATCTACTGATTTCACCTCTGATAGGCAAAAAGATTCACCTTTCAGGACAAGGTCAGGAGGGCCAGAGGCTTTGGTTCACTACAGGGTCGACTTGCCAATAGCACTTAACTCAGCCCTGCAGTTCAACCTTTTCCAGATTTGACCTGTCACGTTTGGGAGCCAGGTTTCTGCCCGAGGTAGCGTGGTGGTCACTGCAGTGCCCCAGCACGGCCAGGCAAGGGGGATTGGCCAGGGCAAGGCCATCTCTAGCACCCAAGCAGAATGATGATAGAGTTTCAGGAGCCTGGAGAGCTCCCCAGAGCCTTTCCAAAGGGACACTGTCTTCGTGCTATGTTTTGGCCTTCACAGGCCAAGCTGGTTCTTCACACAGAGCACATGGACACCACACCAGGCATGGGGTGCTCTGGAGGGACAAGGAGGATTATTTTCCCACTGCATTCACACAGAATGCATGACAGTGGGGAATAGAAGTGAAGCTGAAAGAAATTTATACACGTGTTGTTGTGGATCAAGGACCTGTGCCCAGCTCTGTTCTCAGTACACAAACAACAGGACTCACTTTATTTTACATGGGAGAGAAATACCCTGTAGGGGTACTCAAAAGCCATCTACAAGGGTGCCCTCAGCACCCACGTTTAGCCTCGGGTACCACCCCCTGGATAGATGCATGGAACTGCTGTCCTGACACTTTTCCTGGCAGAGCTGGGCTGACAGAGGTGACAGTCAGTCTGGCCAGCCAGCCAGCTACCACAGGGCCTGTGGCACCTTGCAAATGTCCCCTGTGCAATGTGAACAGCATCATCAGGAACAAGGGACTTTGTACCACAAATCAGACACATTCAGAAATTTCCGTTTTCTAAACATTTGTTCTCCAAAGCCCCGTCCCCTGCTTCAGTCCAATCCCATGAGCAGGTTGTGGCTGGGGAGAACATCCTGGCAGGACCTCAGAGATGGTTTCATGGCAGACCCCAAGCAGCAGCACAGTGCAAAAGCACAACATACACAGCTGCTACTAGTGGGTGAACGAGACATATCCTCCTTGTGCCAGCTCTAATGGGAAGTGCATGAATGAGATTAAATATTTACAATAAAAACCACTTTACACCCTATTATTTTAGCTAGAGCTGATGCTGGGGATTGGGCAACTCTGGCTTGTGTTTTCCTGCAGAGCACCCCACCTCCCTCTTTTTTCATCTAAAAAGCTACAGTGTGCAGGATGTTTGTCCTGCCTCTCCTATAACACACCTACAGGAGATAACTCTGGGAGTCTTAGCTGTGGGTCTGGGAGTTTTGCTCCCCATCTCTGGTAGCTGGAGGCCTGTATGGGGCAGGGGCTGACTGAGCCCCTATGGCATATGCACCCTGCCAGCATCTTCAGCAGGTTTTGCCCCAGTGCTCAGGAGTGCTCTGCAGGACACCCTACTGCAGCACCCTGCACACCCTACCAGCCTGTACACCAGGAGAGGAAAATAGGAAGACCTTTAAGGTTTTGTTCAGCAGTAACCCAGCAGCATTCCCAGCCTGGGGCAGCAGAGACCTGCTCCTGGCAGCTGTGGCAGGGCATCGGCCCCAGGGCTGAGGGGAGCAGTGCACCCCTCACCGGCTCAGGCCTTGTGGCCTTGGCTGGGCTGCAAGGGGTGGAAGTAGAGCTGCAGCCCATCGTCGACAGGGTGCACGATGGGCACGGTCTGCATGCTGGGGTAGCCAGGGGTGGCCAGCTCCCAGCGGGCCGTGCTGACCAGCTCGATGGCCAGCAGCTTGAGGATGGCCTGGGCCAGCTCCTTCCCGATGCAGCTCCGGGCCCCTCCGCCGAAGGGGATGTAGTGGAAGCGGCCCGCAGCCTCCGGCCGGCCGGCGCCAAAGCGCTCGGGGTCAAAGCTGCTGGGGGGGCTCTGGTAGACAGCTGCTGTCTCATGGGTGTCACGGATGCTGTACATGACGCTCCAGCCTTTGGGGATCTGGTATCCCTGGGGAAGGCAGAGAAGAGGGAGGAGAGGACTGTTACATACCTGTGCTACTGGAGGGTGAGCAGAGGGTGCCTGCAGACAGCCCCACTGCACTTCCCACCTGCTCTACAGTTCCTTTTCTCCCCAGCCCAACTGAGACTCACAGAGGCTGCTGCTGACATTTCCCCTTGAGCTACGCTGCCAAGCACCACCACTGCGCGGGACACAGGGTGCTTGCTCACAACGGCAGGCAGCAGCTCTTTAGCAGCCTGCTGGAGTGCGGGACACTTACATCGAGCTCAAAAGTCTGCAGTGCCGTCCTGTAGCCTCCGGAGACTGGGGGCAGCACTCGCAGCACCTCCTTAATCACACAGTCCAGGTAGCGCAGGCGGCTCAGCTTCTCCAGGCTGATGTCTGCGGTGCAGTGACAGCTTTGCCCTGGTGGTGCCGGGAGCTGGGGGCCGGGGCAGGGGGTGCTCTGGGGCACAGTGGGCTCCAGCACGGCACTGGGCTGGAGGGAATCTTCCTCCACCGGGGCTGGGGGCTGGCTCTGGTCCTTGTGAATGTCGTTGGCCATGGCGGGGGAAAGTGGTTTCTCTCTGTCCCTGCTCTGGATGGTCAGGGTGTCTAGGCAGGGTCCTGCAGGGTGGCACTCACTCTGCTGGTACAAGTCATGGGACATCAGCTCCTGCCTTATTTTTTCAATCACTGAGGGGTGCTTCAATAGCAGGAGGATCAGAGAGGTGCTAGCACTAGCCGTGGTGAAAAAAGCAGCAAATATGAGCTCAATTGCTGATTCCTGGGAGAGGAATGAAAATTACAAGTTTGAATAACATTTCAAAGAAATTGTGTCTCAGACTGTTCTCACCTTTTGCAGGTTTCACCCCTGTGCAGGGGGCCCTGGCCCCCACTCTGCTCTCCCCAAACCCACACCCATCCTGGGTTGGCGGGGACCAAAGCATTTCTGTATGAACTGGACATCCACTTGCCAAGTGACTGCTGCAGAAGCACAGCTGGAATGAGTACACATTACCTCCAATCCAGCTCTTCTGAGCTTTCCTCACAAGATTTACCAATTTTAAGGCAGCGCTTTACCATGCATTATAGCACATTGAGTGAAGTCCATTTCAAGTATTATGCTTTTTATCATCATCTGCCAATTCCCCTGTGCGCCCAGCTTTTACTTTTCTGTCCAGGCAGTGGATATGGGCAGTGGTTTATGCACAAATTTTAGGTGTGCTGGCAGCTAAATGGGTTGCATTTGATCCATCTCCAGTTGTGACTGATCTTACCTGGGAGGGGACTCAAGGCAAGAGTCAAAAGCATGAAGGCCTCTCTGCTAGAGCAGGTCAGCCTGGGAAGTGCTGTAGCCAGCAGGGAGCACACACCAGGCAAAGGACTTGGTTGCTTTTCAAGCTGTACAGCCCAAAGCACAGCAGAGTTCCCCAAAAGCTCCACAGCAGAGCTATCCATAACAAGTTAGGAAGTTACTCAGCTCAGATACATGGACCACAGCACAGCCAAATCTGTAATGTGTGCCTTGTCCAAGGTCGGGGTCCCCTCGCAGCCCCCCAGCCTTTTTGGGACTGTCTGCAGGGTCTATATGGAACAGCACATGCCAGGCTGCTGGGGGCTGTTTGCAGCACCCTCTGACCAACTTTTGCAAATGGTTTCCCAAAAGTTAAGGGTTGCCCATGGCATGACACATCTCTGACAGCAAACATAATGCTCAACCTACAGCACCATCTGAAGGTGCCAGTGGCTCCACAGCACAGGGCTGGGAGTGCTGAGGCCAGAGACAAAAGCCAAAGAGAAGGCAAAGGGAGAAGTACCAGGAACTGTCCCCCTGGAAGGCCTGGGACCTGACTGGTATTACAGAGCACTAATGGCTCCAGCCCAGGGGCAAAATCCCACAGGGACACAGAGCAGTTTCCTTTCACATGACTGTGCCTGGACTTTAAATTGTTCTGACACAATCGGTTCTAAAGAGGTGAAGCCACAAACACAGAGAAGAACATTTGAAGACTGAAGGTACTTGGATTCAAATCTGATAAAGTTAGGGATAATGTAACAAAGATGACTCTTTGCTACCATCCCTAGTGCCATATATTGGCTGGTCTAGATGCTTTGCCAAAGTGCAGCTCTCAAGGGCATCTTTCAGCTGAAATAAAACCCCTGGAACAACAGATCCCTGTCAGCCCCTATCACACCTCCTGCAGGCATTAGCAGGAATTTTTACATTCACAAGTAACAGACACAGATGAAAAGAAACCTCTCAGTTCCACCACATGCAATTAAACCCCAAGACATTTCAATAGCATGCAAGGAATTTAGGGCAAGCTCTTAGGTTTGAAATAACAGCCCTTATGCTCTTTGCATCAACCTCTGACAGTGCTGCTGCAGAACGTGTGCCACAGCTGCTGTCACAACTTTCCCTCCCTGCCACTGCAAGGCCAGCAGAACCAGTGACTGGAAGGCAGGATATTCCCAAGCTTCTTCATCAGTACTGTGCCTGTCCTGGGAGGCAGAATGGGCAGATTACACCCAGCCAGTGACAGCATTATTATACAGGATGGGTTTTTTAAATCTTCCCAAGGTTTAAAATATTTTAAAACAGTATTGTTGGCAAAGCAACATCTTTTTAATGACCTTTACATTTCAAGGGCCCTGGTGAGTTCATAGCAGCAGTACAAATCACAGTGTATTTAGAAAAATTTCTGGGAAAAGTCTCTTTCCAGATAATTTGAACAAAAAGCAGATTAGTGACTAGTTTGTGCCAGTGTCTGAAGTGTTTGTCAAAGACAGATATATCCACAACTCTGAGACAGCTTTGGACTTTTTATTCAATTACACTGCTTCATTAAATGAGACCTCTACTACTGTTTTATTAGGGTGGAGAATATTGCCATAATTGCAAGCATAGGCAGTTCAGTTTGAAAGTAATTTTGTTAAATACAGAAATTTTCTAACCATGAAGGTACATTACAAAAAGTGAATATGTTATAATTTGAATCAGCTGGCCCAAGGTTGCTGCCATGTTACTCAATCTGTGTTAGATTTAATATCTCCTTATTCCATTTGTGGTCAGAGTCAGGGATATGATGAGAGATTGTGAAATTATTCTTGCATAATATTACTGTGAATACTAACAGAGATTAATTAATCTTAATCAATCACATTTTGAATCTGTCAATTATTTTTAAGAATCACAGTATAATAAAAAATTTTTAGATTAAATAATGTAATAAAATTTATTTAGTAATATGTACTGGTTCTAATTATATCTAATGTTGTTCAAAGCTTTTCAAATATTTTAGATTTAGAGATTGCATTTTTACAAAATATTTATAAAACATTAGTCTTTGGATAGTTATCCTGAAATACTTAAATAAATAGTAAAACTACCTTTAAACTATACTCAAATACTTTAAAATCATATCCAGCTGCTGTACCCATGCAAAACTGCTTCAAAACTTGTTATATAAATGCAATGCCATTTATCATTCACTGATACCATGTGATCTGGAACTATGAATGATGCAGTACTAAAGACTAATTTTTTTCCCAAGATCTTTGGCAAAATACTCATCACATTCACTTGGTGGTTTTGGCTCAGTAAGGACTACTGGGTTCATCCCTATGTCACAGCCATACATCACATTCATCATAGCAACCCACAAGCTACATGATCGGATGAATGAGGAGGTGATAGGGAATGACCTGGAATCCATCGCTGCATCCCTAGACCTATTCTGGTTAATCACCCCAGAAATTTCTGGGCTCACAGCCCTGAGGAGTCCAGTGATGTGATCTACACCCTGCCCTAGGTGCTGGGCTGTGTTTGAGAAGCACACAAGTAGCTCTGAATATTTCCAAGAGAGTGTCCTGGAGGTTACTGAGTGCACAGACGTGCAGAGCCTTAACACAGCCACAAAACCCTACCAGCATCCTACATCGGGCTAAGGCTGGTGGCCCTGAAGAGGAAAGGTAGAAGGGCATTCATTCCCTTTTAACAGGTCCCTTCTATGGCAAAGAGACACAAGACTACAAGGGCATAAGAGTGTGCTGAGTGCAGGAGCTGGTGTCCTCACTGCTGCTGGGAGGGGGGCAGAGCCAGCGGCTGGGGGTGGTCCCCAGCTCCCCACAAGCCTCCTCCTGGCCCTCAGCCCACATCCCTCAAACAGCCACTGAGTCAGGAGTGGCACTGCAAGGCAGAGGCTCTCCTTACCTTTAGCTCCTGCATGGTGAATTCTTTGCCATGCTCCTTGGCACTGTTCATTATGAAATCCAGAGCATCGCTGTGGTCTTCTGGGTTGTTTCTCTGCAGTTTTTCCTGTATAGCCTTCTCCATAAACTTATGTAGCATGTCCCGTGCTTTGATTCCCTGTGAGAGGCACACACAGTTCAGGAGAACCTTAGGAACTGTCCCCCTCTCTAGAGAGACCAGGGGAACCCAAGTGTAGCAATCCTTAATCCCAGGACCTGTAACAGCAAGAACTGTTTAATCTGCTGCCCAGCCCCAGAGCCTTGCAAGAGGCAGCAGTCTGGGGGGAAATGCTGCACCTTCTGTTGCCTTGCTGCTGTGAATCAAATGCAACAAGTCCCAAGAAACTCTCTGGGAGGAAAAGACAACAGTAAACCCATGCTACCAAGTTCAGAGGCATCTGCACTGGGCAAATCTACAGTTGTGTCAGGTCCAAAGGAAGCTTATTCCAAGGGAAAAGAAAAGGTAACAAGAAAACTGAGTCCAGACAGCAAGGCACAAATGGTTTTACATGGGAATAGTGGATAAAGACACATTAATCACAGTCAGCTCATCTTCAGGTGTGTTGCACTCCTGAAGTGCAGTGCAGCAAAACACTCCTGTAAGATCTCAGCAAGTCAAGTGATCAGCAATGCCTTTGCAAAGTGGGATGATGGAGTCACACTGTACTACTCTCTATAACAATGTCTCCTGCAAAAGCCACAAGGACCAGAAATTTGAAGTTAAAAATAGCCATGGCCAGATATTGGGAAGAAGATACAAAGGCTTAGATTTGAGGTGGGAAGGATTAGACAAAGTAAACAGGGCAGGGGGTGAGGTGAACGACAAGGGGACCTAAAGGCAAGTTGAAGATGTTGGTCTGGGGCCAGACACGCTTTGGCTGACCTGAAAGAGGGCAGGGGGATGAAAGCTCATACTGGTGACAACCTGCAAAGGAAAACTGGACAGGGAAAACAAGAGCTTTGATGAAGAGTAGCAGGGAGGCTGGGGCAGAACTGAGACTGTTTAGGTAAGGTTATCCAACAGGGCAGAGTTCACAGTGGAAATAAGAGATGAGGGAAGACCTGTCTAAAGCAGACAGGAGACTTCAGCTGTGGTAAGGATGGAGAACCCAAAGATAGAGGAGGGAGGAATGTGAGAGGAAGAACGGTACCCAGGACCTATACCTAGAGCAGGAGTGTGGAGAGGCAGGCAAAGAGGGACAGAGCAGCAGGGAAGAAACTGCAGGTTGAAAGAGGCAGAGGAGACTGTCCCTCTCCCCGGGCTGTCTCTGGGCTGCTGGACTATAAGGGACCGAGGACCAGTCTTAAATTCTCAGCCTGCCTGGGTTTCAGAGGAGGTGCTAAGCTGAGGTGTGCTGTGCCCACCTGTCTTTGTGCTTATGCCCACAGACGCCTCTGCCATGGGCTGACATGAGTTCAGATGGGATAGGGTCAGACATGATGGACTCACCAGAGGCAACATATGGGATGAGGGAGAAGAGGAGCCCTATGCTGAATAATGAGCTGGAGCCAGTGCCCAGAGGTGTTGGAAGCCAGCCAAAAGCAGGTGAGAAGTGCAGAGAGAAGGGGAAATGGCTGGGGTAGGTAAGACACCACACCCTGACCTAGAATGGGGTGTTGCAGATGTCCTGGCCCATCAGAAATGTCCCTTGGTGGACCTAAGGACAGGGGGTCTGTGCCGCCAGGGCCCAGGCCCTGCCCTCGGGCAGAGGGAGCAGTGCAGGCGGCAGTACCTTGCGCAGCCCACTGAAGGGTAGGTTGAGGGGCAGGGAGAAGAGGTTCTCCACCAGCTGTTCAAAAGTTTTGGCCAGATCCTTGAACTGCTTTTCCTCCAGGCAGAGCCCCAGCAGAATCCGAGCTGCAATGCGGAAAGTTAAGGTTTTAGCGGAGGAATAAACTGCGATAGAGCCTGGCTCCATGCACCAGCCCCGCAGCTCCCAGCTCACAACCTTCTGGATCCGCGGCAGGTAGCTCTCCAGGGCGGCACGGCTGAAGACTCTGGCCAGGATCTAGGAGGAGAAGGGGGAAGAGAGGCAGGTAGTTAAAGCAGGGGGGCACACATGCCACCGAGGCCAGGCCTGGGCGCTGCCTGGGCTGTGTGCCCTGTCGGGGTGGCTGTGAGGCTCACCTTGCGGCGCTGGCGGTGCAGGTCACCAGTGGAGCTGAGCAGAGTGTGCGAGCCCAGGATGATCTGGGTGCTTTGGGGCCACTGTGTGCTGACCAACGTGTGCTCACCCAGCAGAATCTTGCGGATGTTCTCAGCGCCTGTCACCCGCACCACAGGCCGGCCCAGGAGGTGGGTCTTGAAGACATTTCCGTACCGCTCCCGCCGAGAGCTGTGGAAGCGGGAGCCCTGGGGACGAGCTGCGGGTCAGCCCGTGGCTCCCGCCAGCCCCTTCCACCCCGCCCCGTCCCCCGGCGCCTCACCTGGAGCAGCCAGTGCAGAGTCTCCCCGAAGAAGGGCCAGCCCATGGAGCCCTTGGGCAAGGGCAGGGCGCTGGCGCGGTCCCGGCTGAGGCTCCAGCGCAGCGCCCACAGGTGCCGGCACAGGGTGATTAGCAGAGCCAGGGCCAGCAGCACCAGCGCCGCCGCCTCGGGCCAGGAGGGCCCGGCCGGCATCCTGCTCCGGTGGCGGGGACGGGCCGGGTGCGGCTGTCAGGCTCGGGGCCCCGGCGCCCCGCGACTCGGCTACGGGCGCTGCGCGACGGGCCCTGCCGACTGCTGCCCGCCCGGCCCCGCTCGCCTCCTGCTGCCGGTTCGCCCCTCGGCCACATTTATATAGATATTGGCCACTTACGCCCGATCCACCTTCGGAGATGACGTATCCGCTGCATATTTAAGCAGCGCGGCCAAGTGCGGTGATTGGCGCGGGAGGGCCGGGGACAGCGGCCGAGGGGCTCGAGGCGGCGGGGCAGCCCCCGGGGCCGGGGGCCCGGCGCCCCTCCCGCCCCCGCCCAGCCCCTCGGGGCGCCCCGAGCCGGAGGCGGGACGGCCGCTCCTGGCAGCAGGGAACCTTCTCCGCCCCGCCGGCAGCTCCCGGCGCCCCCTCGGGCCAGCCTGCCCAGGTAGAGTCCCGTCCCGGGCTCCCCCGACCAGGGAGCGCCCCAGCCCTGCTCCGCAGCCCCCAGCGCCCCCCGCTTCCCGGCCTGCAGCGGCAGACGGGGCGGCCCTGCAGCGCTCCCGGCCCGCACCCCGCCGTCGGGGCCGCGCGGATCCCCGGCCGCCTTTCCCGGGGAAAAATCACCAGTGAGTCGGGACCTGCACAGGTCCCGCGAAACCGGCTTCGAGGTGTGCTCCCGTGTGTGAAATTAAACAGGAATACGGGTGAGGTTTATATTACTGTATTTAGACCGTCAATAACTTAAAAATACAGCGAAATGTACAGTATTTTTACACGTTCCATTTGGTTTGTATTTGTTAGACATTCTCTTAAGTGTCTAAAATAGCCAGGAGGGGACAGTGCAAAGAGACCAGTAGTGGGACAAAATGCCAATCGCTGGGATGGGGCTGGCAGGAGAAAGCACAAACTAACAAACAGATGCGGCACGAAAACAACAGCGGCAAACCTATTCCTTACTGCAACCTGGGATAAAGAACCCGAGATCTTTACAAAAGTACAGTTAGAAATAGTAACCCTGAGGAACAAAACCAAAACGAAACAACATGTCACATTATAAAGAAATCAAATGGTTATTTACATTCACAACCTCAAGATTAAACCTTTTGGAGAACAAAGCCTGCAAGTCCTAATGCTAAATAGATATCAAGTCTAGTTCTCGGGTAGTTTTCAAAGGTACTAAAAATCAGAAGACCTTTTCATACCTCCAGACTACAAAACCTGGTATACAAAATTATGTCCAATCACTTTAGGGCTAATTACATTTAATGCAGGAAAACAATAAGCGGCATCTGAAACACAAGTATCTCAAGCTTAAAAACTTTAAATTAGGATTCAACCAGAAAACAGCAACTAAGGGATCATTTCTCAAATAATTTCTACTCGGAGCAAAATTTTGGACACCATATCTGCAGATATTTAAATAACATATTTACAGTTCAGCAGTTCCATGTACAATACGATTGCGCTGGTTTTTATTGTACAACCTCGTTTTTCACCATTTGTTTACAATATACAAAATAGTATTCGACCCATTAAAAATACGTACAAAGAATTGTTTGTTGAAGACTACATGTACAATCTATCTACTGCATTTTTCCTTTTCTCGGTCAAACAAAAGTCCTAACTGGTATCACCATTTGCTTAGTAGAAATAGTGGATAAGAAACACCTCTTGGTGTGATGAGATACTGTCGATTTAAGAGGCCTACGTGTGCTGGGACATACCATTCACTAAACTCCTAAGTTGTTTTACTACAGTCTCTATTAGCTTCTGCTTGTCACGGTCATTCTTCCTGAACTGAGCAAAAATGTTGTTCTTTTTGCTGGAGTCTTTCATTCTAGAGAAATAAAAAAGCAAATGACAAACACATCAGAAACATAAGTTGAAAACAAAAAACCCGACTATTTAGATTGGTTTACTAATGTTCTTCTTTTGATCTTTCCGCTAATAAGAACTGAAAGATTACAAAACCTGTTCACTATGTGTTCTTAAATTAAACTTCTGCAATGCAGAAGTGCAGAATGTGTTTGTTTCAACAAATACTACTTCACAAATAACCTGTAAGTATTAAACAAATACCCCTTCAGCAGGACCCTGATCCTACCAATTGCCTTAGCAGAGAAGCAAGTCAGAAAACCCGTTAGTATCATCTTCATGGTAAATTCAGACTCAGCGAATGGGTGAATTTTGTTCACCGTCAATAACAGGCATCTATATTGCTGATTTTCCGTACCAACGGATATAAAAACGAAATTCGGGAAATTAGGCAAGTTACAGAAACAATATTTTGTAACAATATAGGCGATACATACCCTCTGTGAACTCTGGAAAAGACATTTTCATCGCAGGCAGGAGAGGAGAGAAAACACTGTTAGAAAGCGTATTTAAACCACAACGTGTTTTGTTTGATGCGGTTTTTACAAGCAGGTTGGTACCGCGCTGCCGGTAACGCGCCCTGCTCACCCTGCCCGCCCGAGACGCTCGCACCGCTTCACCACGGCCAAAGCTCAGCGTCTCCCTTCCCCAGAGCGGCAATTCGGGAGCCGCCGGCTGCTCCCGCGGCCCGGCCCCGCCGCTCCCGGCAGGGCGGCTCCGGCTCCGGCCCCGCTCCGCATCCCCGCGCCGGCAGCTCCGGCCCCGCTTTGCATCCCCGTGCCGGCAGCTCCGGCCCCCGCACTTACTTCTCCAGGAGCGTGAGGGCCGTGCTGGGGTTGACCCGCAGGTACTTGGAGGTGGCCTGCCCGTAGTCAGCCAGGTAGGTGGACCAGTCCCACACCATGAAGAGGTCCAGGAGCTGCGGGGGGAGAGGCGGGTGAGGGAGTGCGGGGAGGCTCTGCAGAGAGAGGCCGGGCGCAGCCCCACGGCGAGCCCAGCCACCACCCCCCTTCACCTGCCCATTTCTTTCTTTAACGTCTCTCACCTCCCTCGATGTGCAGGGAGGCGGCTGTGCAGGTTTGGCCCCAAGAGGGGAAGCTGATGGCTGCACGCTTTAGTATTTAGGAACTCGCTTTATCGTGGGGAGCAAGACAGGGATGCTAGTGTCTGCTGCTTCTCACAATGATTTAAACGAGGTTCAGGTAGTCCAATTAAAGTGAATTAAACACCTCCTGGCTGCAGTGTCCATTATAACTGATCCCTGAAACTCAGAGCCAAGCCCTGGGCACACTTCTGGCCCAAACAAACCCAAACACTTCAGTGGAGGAACAAACTGTCTCCAACCACAGTACTACGCTTGGCTGCAGTTTCAAATCAGGTCTTGGACTCATGATCTGAGAGCTGCTGTTCAACAATAACCCAGCCTGCTTTTACAATCAGATGCAATACTGCACCTCCAGCAGCCAGCACCCTCACGGCCCTCAAAGCCTGATTCCCCCTCCACCATCACGGGGTGCAAGGCCAGGCACTGCTGGGCACCCTGCCCAGGCTGCCAGGGGCCAGGGCACAGGCAGCCCTGCTCGGGGCTGCCTTTCCCACGGCTACCTGCGCGCCAGTGGGCCCCACTGCCATTGACGTCAATGGCGGGGCGCCCCAGCTTCCCCCTGCGTCTGGGGCCTGGCCTTGTCCCGCTGCTGAGGGCTAACAAGGGCTTGTTCTCAGGCCGTCCCGTGTTAGCCAAACCTACTGTTAAAAAAAGCCTTGGGAACCATTAACAGCACTTCGCCCCAGAGCACAGTGCCTGAGGCTGCTCTGCCGAGCTGGGTCCTCAGTGTAACCTAGAGCCCTGCTTGCCCAGAGACCTGCTGAATCAGTAATTCCAGAAAGGTGGGCTGGAACTGGATTTTTTGTAACAAAACCACCTGAAAAAAATGTAACAGACTACTGCAAGTCAGTCAATTTTGCTATTTCAAGGAAGAACCGTTCACTTCAAACATTTGCTTCTGCTACGCCTGACCAGAGCTGTTAGAGCTGGGACACAACAGCAGCAGCCCCTGCTCCCACAGGCAGAGGTGCAGCAGGTGCTCACTCCTCTGACTTCTCAGGCTACACTAAGAGGAGGGCTGCACCCCAGAGAACCTTACCTTGCCTTACTTAAACTTCTCAGCGTGACAAACTGTCAGAAGAGTCCAGCAATGCTCATGCCCAAAATCATAACACCAATTCATTTACAGAAAAGTATACATCCAGTCTTCCCAGATTCAAATTTCAATGCCTCTCTTCTGCAAATTTTTCCACTTCCAAAGCACTTTCTTATGTTACTTTCAAATATAGTGTCTAATTTAAACACATATTTTTCTAATTAATTACTTCTTCCTTATTTGTAGTGTAATCTTTTAGGACTAGGTAGCAACATTTCCTGGCATTGTAATGGACCTCTGACACATCTACTTATATTTTACATTTAACTATTTCATAGGGGTGAAAGGGTCTAAAACCCAAGGAGGCAATTTCACTCTCTGCTGACTAGATATCCCTTATAAGCACCAAGGTCAAATTCAAACAGTTCTTTCCCACAAAGCCCTTTCTCCAGATGGACACCACCAATTTTACTGAGTTGCTGAGAACATGCCTTCAGTCACCATGCAAACAGACTTAGGAAGGCTTGATAACTCAGTCATGAAACTCACAGCCTCAGTTGCTACTGCATGTTCTCATCACTTGTTATTACTTGTGTGACACAGTTCGGGTGCCAGTCCTCACAGAGGTATTTTAAAGCACAACCGAAAGAGTGGAAAGATAGGACAGGCAGATGCACAAGGCAAGGTGTGAGGATAAAGCTGACAGGAACCCAAATGATATAATCTGGTGATTAATAACTTATTGGTACTTACAGTGCTACTTGCCATGGGCTTCACATGGGACATGGTCCTTAAGGATGGACCCATGTTCCTGCAGTTGTATTCAGTGAGTAAGAAGTGAAAGATTTAATTTCTTTTCCCAATAGTACCATTGAAATTGAGGATTCTGGTAAATCTTAACCAACCCTGAAGCTCATATGGGTGAAAGGTTAACTACGTGGCAGGTAGCTCAAAGGCCCAGACATGCAATCAAATGACACATGCCAGTCAGTCACAGCCCCCTTCCCTCCTTCAGTGCATCTGTTCAGGGGCTGCAGTGTGACAATCATGTCCTAGATCAGGATTAAATGTGGCAGGGAGCTGCAGACACTGCTGGAGCCCAGACTGCTGCTGTGCACGATTCTGCACTGTGCATTTTGTCCCATCACAGCTGCAGTTCTGCACCATGGCACACTGCTGCATGCAGTGGGCTTGGACAGCAAATACTGCATGCAGTGGGGTGGGGAAGAGCTGCCTGGTGTGCAGCTCTTGGGATCTGTGTCCTGGCCATTCCTATCACCTACATCTGCCCTGGCACCCAGGCTCAGTGGATGCACAGCCCAATGCTGGTTCTGTGACAGTAGTTTTTACTGCAGCATCTAGGATCAAATCAAGGCCAAGTTAAAGCAACATTTCCCTACTACTGTTTTATTTATTAAAGCTTTCTCTATTACTGAGACAATAACTGAAAATGAAATGTATTGTCTAACAAGGAATGCCCCACACACTGGCATGCATGGTCAAACATGGGCAAACGGTAGGTCCTGGCAATAAGCATTTCCCAGCCTCAAAAATCAGTCAAAGGCCACAGAGTTTATCACATCATACCAGTGCTACTGGCTACAACTCCTTTAAGGTTAGACTGTGCACAACTTGCCTTGAAATTACAATAGGAAAAATGTTTATTTTGCACATCCATCTTTCCTAAGTTAACATGTGTGGAAAAAACCTGACAGAAAGGCAGTCTCAGCCCCACATAAGGAGCCGCCCAAGGGTGTTTAGTCACAACCAGCTTATCCTGCAGCCAAAACATTGTGAAGCACCAAATAAATACATGTACTCTGCTACCCAAGAACAATGGCACTGCTGTGCTCTTCATCCCATAGTAACCATAAAAAAATAAGAATAAGCTCAGACAGGCAATACTATACCCAAGTATTTTATAATGGAGCAGAATATGCTTCCCTAGGAGCAAGGAGCAATTATTCCCTTCTGACTAGGAACAATTTGCAGAGATGTATGTGTGTCTGAGTCATTTGGAAAAAAAAAAAGGAACAAGGAAAAAAAAAAGAACAAGCTTTAGCCTTTCCTGTACACCGCAAAGAACATCCTATATATTGTCCACCTACTTACATTTACAAGATACAGTCCACACTTCCACCTTATTTAGAGGATTTTGCTTTTTCTAGAGGTGTGATATAAGGGGAACCTTCATCCACCATCTTGGAACCATCAGGGCTGATGATCAGAGGGCAGCACTTTTCTTCTACTATACATGCAACAGTGTTGCTTTCCCAAACCATTACATTATTAGTCACATATATACTTCTAACATTATAGGTAACTTAAGCCTCTGGTTGCTGTACTGCACTTTTATTTTGAATTATACTCTACATTGCTTTGATTTTGTAATTTTCCCTTCATGTGTAGGTATTTTCTAGATGCCTTTTATGTCTAACATTAGGTCTCTTTGTAGAAATAAACATCACTTGGAAAAGAAAAGGTGTTTATGTGTACTTACATAAAAGTTTATAGTAATTTCTGACATTATACAGGTAACACTGCTATTTTTAATTGGAAGACATTTTAAAAGATACTAAACTATGTTTTGGTTACTCCTACTGTAAGACCTTGTTAGCAAACAGGATCAGTTAAGACAAAACATTATAATACTGATGCTATGAGAGGAAAAGATCTTAAACTTTTAGGGACAGAATTCTGATTTCAAATAGGGTACTTGCACCTATTCCTCCAAGTTAGTTCTCTAGCGTTTTCCCAGTATCTAGGTGATATGGCCATGTTTGAATAGAAATTACTCTTTATCATTGCTCACTAAAGCTTTGTATTGTATTACCTAAAGTTCAGAGCAGCTCAGCCATAGTCCTGTATTTAGGCCATCTTGTAATTACGTGAGAATTTTGTGCACTGGGAACTGCTGGAATCGACCATCCGGCCCTTTCAATGACATCTGAGCCTCTTGTCACATCCTCAGATATCATACAGATGCCCTTTCCTTTTTACTTTTGGGCAACTGTCAGGAATAATCTTGGAAGAGAATGCAACTTTGGGAAATAGCTATGCACAGAGTGAGCACAGCAACAGACAGAGGAGGAGACATGAGCTTTGCAGATGGAAATGGGGGCAGTGTCCATTAGACCCTGTGCTGGTTATACTACAAAAATCCTAATTGTAAATTATAAAGGTAGCTTAATGCAAGTTGGAATGGTGCGAGTTGCAATCTCTTCTGAAGCAGCATGAGCATCAACAAATAGCTTTGGGTGTACAAATGGCACCAGTGATTCAGGAGCTGGAGATAAAACTGAGTTGTACACTTAATTTCCTACTTACCTTTCAGTAAAGCCAAATATTCCATCCAATGAAAAGTAATTCTTTTAATATATCACTGTCAGTTATGTCAGTTCTGGCCCACTCTCCTTGCTCACAAGCTGAATATTTCTTATGCTAAACAGTTTATTAACCCCTAATCACCCAGTTACTTCTGGACTTGATTGCATGTGTAATTACCTTTTGTCAGGTACAATTTGCCTGATAAACATGTCAGAACACTTGCTGCTTAGTCTGTTGAAACAGATAAATGCTGTCTTTCCACAGCCTTGGGGCATAATTAACAGGGAAAAAAAAGGCAGTTATAAAAACACACAGAAGCTGATTCAGTGAGGCAGGAGTTCACAGCGTGCAGCCCGCCAAGGCCCATTGCCCGGCCCGCTACGCTTGCCTGAGCTCTTATTGAGTTCCAGCCTGCTGTGACAGGGCAAAGGGGGCAGCCCTTAAAAACTGA